ATGAATGTATGTATGATGTATGTATGTATCTATGTATGTATGTATGTATGTATGTATGTATGTATGTATGTATGTATGTATGTATGTATGTATGTATGAATATATGTATGTATGAATGAATGAGTGAATGAATGAATGAATGAATGAGCGAATGAATGAATGAATGAATGTATGTATGAATGAATGAGTGAATGAATGAGTGAATGAATGAATGAATGTATGTATGAATGAATGAGTGAATGAATGAGTGAATGAATGAATGAATGAATGAATGAATGAGCGAATGAATGAATGAATGAATGTATGTGTGTATGTATGCATGTATGTATGTATGGTGTGTGTGTGTGTGTGTATATGTGTACGACATAATGCATGTATTTACTTGTGTGAATATGTGTGTGTGCGTATTCGAGTGCAACTGCGTATATATGTATGTGTGTATAAATTTGTATCTGTACTCGTGTGCATACGTGTATGTATGGCGTGGTGTATGCGTGTGTGAGAGTGTGTTTGTGTGCCTGTTTGCCAACATATGTGGTGACGTCGAGGCTGTAATGAGATGGCGGTCCGGTTGCTATGCGTCCGGCCGGAGTGTTGCTGACGCTGGTGGTGGTGGTGGTGAAGAGGAGACGAGTGAAAAGAGGAAAGAGGCTGTCGTGTCGTCGAGGCGACCTCGAGTGTGCCGTTGCGTCCGGGATTTCGAGGAGCGGCCGGACATGCAATCCGAGAGAAGAGCTACGCGACGGAGGCCTGCCAGAAGCCGATTGTGCCGGTGCCAGTCAGAACGGCCTCGGCTGGTCACCGCGGCGACAGCAGCCGAGGATGCTGGCCGGTTGGCGGGGGCCAAAGGGGGTCGAGGTGGGCGTGACGACGACGACGGTGACGGTGACGACGAGGATAACTCGTGTCTCGTGCCGAAAGTCAACTTTATCTTGTCTCTGAGGCGTCGGTTGAAACGGAACAAATCGCCTTCTCTTCTCTTTCGGTAGATTCATTTCGCACTCATTGCCCTGACAGCCAATAGAAGTCATCTACATGCACAATTGTGTGTGTGTGTGTGTGTGTATTTTCTGCTAGCAGCATACCCGTCCAGAGTGTCAGGCTCGTGCGTGTCAGTCTCAAGTCGTCCGGCCTCGACGAACCCTTCGGATGGCCCTTCTTTTGGCCGGTCTCGGACACAAAGAATTGTCCATCCGACGCCAGTACTCACGCACATGCATGCATGCATGCATGCACACACATGGAGACAAACTCAGGAAAGTGAAGAAATACCAACAGTCGTGAGGACGATTGACCCTTTGCATGTGAACTGGCGCCAACTTCGGAAGCACTCTTCACACGAGATGGGCGCACAAGCTCGAGGCCGAGAGGGTCTGGCGTCAAGGCGACGCCGAATGGGGCCACAGTCGAAGGGGGTGGGTGGAGTCAGGAGCGA